GATGAGTGCTTAGCGTTGGCTGGTGCATCTCTGCGGCCGCGCCTGCCCGCGCATGCACGCGCGCGCAACGGCCAGCTAGTCTGGCGCGACCGACGCGCGGCGACTTGGGCGGGCGCGGTATCATGCCAATAAACACGATGATGGTAGTAGCGATGCTGGCGACGATGCTGACAGCGGCGACGGCACGGCCAGTGACGGCGCCGAAGCTGATCACGTCGATGACGATGGCGGCGTCCTCGCGTCGGTGATGAAGGTTTTGGAAAGAGTTCGACATACGCGCGCGGCCGACGCGCGGGAATGGCCGTATGGTGTTATTTGGCACGGATCGTGTCCCCCAGCACGCCGGCAAGGGCGCTCGAATGAGTTCGGCATGCGTCGCGAGAGGCCCGCTTGGCAGAATTCGATGAAGATGTTTGAACAGCCAATGGCTTCCTCAAGGATTCGCCAGAGCGCGAGCGCAAGCTTTTTTGAAAACTGATGCTGCGAAATCATGTATTTGGATGGTTTCGGGACACTGGATTATGGAATCCCTGCGAAACCGAAGGTTGTTGTAAAGGATTTCGGCATGCGCGCGCGACGACGCGCGCGTGCGCACTTGGTCCCATTGTTTACAACGGATTCTCGCAACAGCACGCGCGCAAAGGGGCTCGAACGATTTCGGACGTCTGGTAACATTGTATGAACATGTTGAACAATTTGTGGTTTTCTGAAGAATTCGCAACAACGCGCACGCAAGTTTCTTTTGGACAATCCGTGCTGCGAAACCATGTGTTGTTTACATGTGCTTGGGATATTCGATGTTGGCATCCTTACTTAACCTAGAAATGTTCAAAAGGATTTCGGCATGCGCGCGCGACGACGCGCGTGTGCACTTCGTCACATTTGTTGCAAGGGATTCTTGGAAACTGATGATTTGTGATCAACGAATGCGCTCGCATTGCATTTTTTTGTGGAAAGAATTACGGGGGGTGTCGATACCAGCCTGCCTGGAAGGGTATGAATTCATAATTCGTGTGGACGATGGGGCAAAATCATATGTAAATTGCACATCCCCAGGGGGGACCGATAAGTCCGGCCTCGGGAGGGTGGTGGATCCTAAGTCTTTTTTTAAAAGGAAGCTCTCTGCGAGGCGGCGACGGGCGGCGACGAGGCGGCGACAGGGCGGTGACGGCGACGACATAGCCGACTGACGCCTGACCAGCCGTCAGGCCCAGACGAAAGGCGGCGACGAGGCGGCGACAGGGCGGCGACGGCGACTACATAGCCACCAGACCAGCTGTCAGGCCCAGACGACGGGCGGCGACGAGGCGGCGACGGGGCGGCGACTGCGACTACACAGCCGCCAGGCTGGCCGTCAGGCCCTGTTCTTCAGAATACAAAGAAGAACCCCTTAGTGCAAGCACTGTTTTGGGCATGCTTGCTGCATGTTGTATTCGTTCACATCATCATGTCTCCCCACCTGCCCCCTCCCTTCCCCGAGTCGCGTCACATCGACGGACCAAGTGTTCCCCCCCGGGGGCCCGACAACGCACCAAAAGGAATGGACGATTCATGATATCGGTTTCCTGGTAAATTTCCCAGAAACCCCCACACAGGCCCAAGACGCCACCGAGAGGCCCGCGCATACGCGTGGCGCCCTGCTGCTGTGCTGATCGGAGTTTGACCTTGGCGTTGCCTTGTGCTGACACGCAGTGCATACTCTCGTTGACATTCGCACGCTCGTCCCAGCGCTGAAACGGGGGGTGGGTGATGGGCTTGTCTTGCACCACCACCACCACCATAAGCTGGAGGTGGAGGTGGGGTCCTCCTCCTCCTCCTCCTCCTCCTCCTCCTCCTCCTCTTCCTCCTCAATTACTTAATATGAATACTACTCTCCCTCATCCCCTGATGACGTCTTGGGAATATTCGCCCCCCATCCCCCGCGTACTGTTTTTTACACACAGGTTTCCCCAGAGTTGGGTTTTCGCTTGCATTTTTTCCAAAATGCTGCTCTCGCTGAGGCGCCGGCCTCATTTTCGGGCCCCGCTCGTTCCGAATCGTGCTCCCGCTGCAGCGCTGGCATCATTTCCGCTGGCGCCCGGGCTGCACGCCCGAGCCGGCGCCTGGGCCGGCGCTCGGGCCGGGTCCGGAGCCGGTTCTGGCAGGTGCCGGAAAATCGAGTTCCGAGGCGGCGCCGAAAAAAGGCCATTCTAATACACATTTTTCATTTGAAAATGCTGAATTTCTGCTTCCGGCGCCCAGGAGGCCTCCCGGGCAGATTCCGACGCCCAGGCCTCAGGCCGGCGCCCGAGCCGGCGCCCGGGCCGGACGCCCGAGCCGGCGCCCGGGCCGGCGCTTCTGGCGCCCTGGAAGCCTTCCCCAGAGTTAGGTTTTCGCCTGCAATTTTCCCAAAATGCTGCTCTCGCTGAGGCGCCGGCCTCATTTTCGGGCCCCGCTCGTTCCGAATCGTGTTCTCGCTGCAGCGCTGGCCTCATTTCCGTGCTTCCGCTCGTTCCGAATCGTGCTCCCGCTGCAGCCCTGGCCTCATTTCCGCGCTTCCGCTCGTTTCGACTCGTGCTCCCGCTGCAGCGCTGGCGTCATTTCCCGTGCCATGCCACGGCATGCAATGCAATGCTAGGTTGATACTACGCTTCGCGGTGCTCTTCTACGCCATGCCATGCCGTGCTCTACAATGCATCGCGTACCCTTTCGGGATCATCGCCCTGCTTGACATCCGACTGTGCGAGTAGAGAGGGGATCTGCGCCATGGTAAGGGATGGGAGGGAGGGGTAGGATGTCAGATATGACGCGAGCGCACCTAGCTTGTCCTCCTCCCCCTCCCCCTCCTCCTCCCCCTCCTCCTCCTCCCCCTCCTCCTCCTGGTGGTGGTGGTGGAAAACGGGCCCATCAGGGGGGGGGCGCATCCGCCCCCGCGGGCAGAGCCAGCGCGGCAGACGAGCCGAGCAAGCTACCCACAACGCCCCATCTTTCCTCGTGCTCCGGGCGTGCACCCCGCTTGAAGCGGAGAGGAATCCTCGTCCGGACTGCAGCGGTGCGTCTCGGCAGTCCGAGAGGACGGGCACGTGACGCAGTGGCCAAGGTACCATGCTCCATCGAAACCAACTTGCCATACATTGCTACATTCTCCTCTGCAAAGAAACTTTCCCCTTTCTCGCCATCTGGGACCCCCGCCGAGTCGCCGCCCCATTTGGTACAGTTTAAAATGTCACTGAAGAAGCGTCAAAACCAGAGGCAAATAACTGGGTTCGGCCTCTTGAGCTTTCTGGGGGTTCAATGGGGGCCTCAATGCGGCTCAAGATGGCTTCAAAACGGCCAAGATGCCCCCAAGAGGGCCCAAGTGGCCCCCAAGATAGCCACAGAGGGCCCCCAAAGGACCCCCTAAGAGCGCCCCCAGATGCCGAAAAACATTGTTTTCCTCAGGTGTTTGACGGGTTTAGCGTTTTCACATTTTTGGGACACTCGGGGGCCTATGACGGCCCAAGCAGCCTCCAAGATAGCCCACATACTGGCCAAGAGGGCCCCAAGACGGCACCGCAGGATGGCCCAAAGAGGCCCGCAAGACGGTCCAAGAGGCCCTCAAGACGGCTCAGGACGACCCCAAGAGAGCCTCAAGGCGGCGTCGAGAGGCCCCCGAGACGGCCTCTGAAGGGGCCAGACGGCGCAAAAACGCCCCAAGACGGCCCAAGATGCCCACCAGAGACCTGAGAGGCTCCCAAAAGGCGCCCAGGAATCCCCACAACGACTGGACAAGACGTGGTCCGGGCCTGCACCCCGCCGCGAAGCGAGAGGAATCCCTGGGGGCCCCGTGCACAACTCGCACGCCCACCTCCTCGGGCTTCCGACCGCCCAAGACAACCCAAGAGGGAGCCCAGGAAAGGGAGCCCCTGGAGGCCTCCCCCACAAGATGGCCCCCAAGACCTCCAAGAAAGCCCTGAGAGGTCCCAACAACTGCACAACAGGGCTCCTTTTGAGCACGGGCTCAGGTTTCCCAAATGATGTGCTACGACAGCGCCCCAGAAGAGAGCATCCAGGGCTCCCAGTGGGTCGGCGGTGCGGCGTAACCAATGAATCCCTGGGGGCCCATGCACAATTCGCACGCCCACCTCATGCGCCGACGTACCATCTGATGGCCACACGTCAAATAAACCCAGCCCAAACCGTTGAATTGGGATGGGGAGGTGGCAATTCAAAACATTCGCGGTTCAAGGAGCAGCACTGCTGTTGGACAGCCGATTTTCCCGTCAGAATGCGTATATCAAGTATGGCACGATCATGCAAGACACGCACATCTGGCTCGATCTCGTAAGCCCCTTTCTGCGCAAAAGCGTTTGCCACGTCGTTGCCGATCGCGATATCACGCCTCTGTCTAGAATCGGTTCAAGCCCTATCTTCATGCAAATCAGGCTTTCATCATACCGTGACTATGTGGGCGTGCCTGGGAGTCCCAAAACAATACTGGCCCACTTGTCCTGCAACAGTTTTGCTCAGCGGCCCAAGCAGACACTGGTAATCTTCACCGTCGCATGCCAAAGTACTGCTAGGCACTCTGTTGAGTATCCCCAGGTCCCGTCGAGGTCTCTGCTTTGGTACTGCATGTGCCACTGAAATGCCCAAGCCCCCAGTTCGCGGATCTCCCGAGGGCTCCTCGCACGCATTGGGGGCCGGTCGTATGACTTTCCCTGAGGCCTGAGCAGCGTGGATGGGAGTCCATGCTTCCAACATGGCCAACGATGGTCTCAGGGGTGTTCCTTTGGCCGCTTTGCGGGCCCAATAGGCCAATCTCATTCAAACGCGCTCGGGTGTTGCATGATTGTTTGCCTTACTCGGCTGGTGGGTCTTAAGACGGCCCAAGAGGCACTTGCGTAGTATCGTCGCCCCAGGGAAGCCCCCGAGAGCCCCCAAGAGGCCGTACGCAAGAGCATGCCCAAGGCGAAGATGGAGCGAGGAGGGGGGCTGGAGGAAGTGGAAAGAAGACGATGCGCCCAGCCGTAGCGGCGCTCCTTTGAGTTCCGGTAGCAGTCCACGACGGCGTCGACGGGCAGCTTGGAAAAGTCCTGCGGCTGCCGCTGGCTGCAGTCTGCCGCCTGCCGACGCCGCCTGCTGCTGCCGATGCAATTTCTCCTCGTTATCCTCCTCCTCCTCCTCCTCCTCCTCCCTCCTCCCTCCCTCGGCCTCCTCCTCCTCCTCCTCCCTCCCTCGGCCCCCGTCCCGCTGCCTTGCTGCATCCAGCCGCCTTGAGCCCTCGTGGGCGACCTTGGGCGCCTCGCCCTCTTCGGGTGTCTTGGGGCCCTCTTGGGCGGGTCTTGTGCCACATCTGTTCGTCGGGCAGCGGAGCAGGCGGCCACACGAAAATACTTGAAAAACCCGCGAAGAATCATTGCTTTCCCACCTGAAAGCAGTGTGAAACTCTCTTGGGCGTTTTGGAGCCCACGTGGGCCGTCTCGAAGCTCTGGTAGGCGTACTGGGTGCGTTTTCGTGCCCTCACGGCCCCCTTGAGGGCCCTTTTGGCGGGTCCAGGCTCGTTTGGCGCCCCATTCCGCACTGAGGCACCAGCATGTATGTATGCATGCATGCATGCATGCATGCATGCATGTATGTGTGTATGTATGTATGAATGAGCGTATGTATGTATGTATGCATGTATGTATGTATGTATGCATGCATGCATGCATGCATGTACGTATGTATGTTTGTATGTATGTATGTGTGTATGTGTGTAGGTGTATAAATATATGCATATATATGTGTATGTATGTATATATGTATGTATGTGTGTCTGTTATGTATGTATGTATGTATGCATGAATGCATGCATGCCTGCATGTATGTATGTATGTATGCATGTATGTATGTATGTAGATGTGCATGTATGTGTGTATGTATGTATGTATGTGTATGTGTGTATGTGTGTATGTGTGTATGTGTGTATGTGTGTATGTGTGTATGTGTGTATGTGTGTAGGTGTGTATGTGTGTATGTATGTATGTATGTATGTCTGTATGTCTGTATGTCTGTATGTCTGTATGTATGTATGTATGTATATATATATATATGTATATGTGTATGTATGTATGCATGTATGTATAACAAATGTCTGGATGAAATTATGGATGGATGTATGATTGAACGTATGCATGCATGGCATGTGTGTATGAATGTATGTATGTGTGTATGTGTAGGTGTATGTTCACATGTATGCATGCATGAATGTCTGTATGTATGTGTGTTTGCGTGCACGCGTGTATGTGTGTATGTGTATATGTATGCATGAATGTATGTATATGTATGTGTGCATGCATGCATGCATGCATGTGTGTATATGTGTATGTGTGTGCCTATGCGTGCATGTTTGCGTGTCTGTATGTATGTATGCATGCATGCATGCATGCATGTATGTGTGTATACATACAAATATGTGTGTCTGTATGTGTGTATGCATGCATGTATGTATGTACATATGTATGGGTGTATGTATGTATGTGTGTATGTATGTATGTACGTATGCATGCATGTATGAGGGAACGCGTTTCACGGGCGGTCGCCTTGGGAACAGTCGGCGGCGCGTCTCGAACCGGGGCGTGAGCCCCCCCCCCAAGCCCGCCCCTCCCGAACCCACCCGCCCCTCCTCCCAAGGGGGGGGGTCAAAACCCCATCCCTCCCCCCCGGCGCCGGCGCCGGCGCTGGCGGTCGCCAGCAACGCCGACGGCGGGGACGCAGCAACGATGACCAGAGGAAGCCCAGGGGGGGGGGTTCAAACCCCCCCCCCTCCCTGGCGCCGACGGGAGGGGGGTTTCAAACACCCCCCCCCCTGGCGCCGGCGCCGGCGCTGGCGGCGGCCAGCAGCGCCGGCGCTGGCGCCGGCGACGGCGGGGGCGCAGCGACGACAACCACCACTACCACCACCGCCACAATTACCACCACCACCACCACCGCCTCAACCCACCACCACCACCACCAACCCACCACACAACCACCACCACTACCACAGCCACCACCGCCACAACAACCACCACCACAATTCACCATCACCACCAACACCACCACCACAAAAACCCACCACCACTACCACCACCACCTATCTACCACACCACCACCACCACCACCGCCACAACCACCACCACTACTAGCAGCACAACCCACCGCCACCACCACAAACCACAACACCACCACCACCACCGCCACCACCTCCACCACCACCAGCACCACGTCCATAAACCACCGCCACCACCACAACCCACCACCACTACCACAACCACAAACCACCACCACAACACCACCACACCACCACAAGCAAAACCACCACAACTCACCATCACCACCACCACCACCACCACAAAAACCCACCACCACTACCACCACCACCTCAATCTACCACGCCACCACCACCACCGCCACAACCACCACCACTACTAGCAGCGCAACCCACTGCCACCACCACAAACCACCACACCACCACCACTACCACCACCGTCACCACCACCACCACCATCACCTCCACAAACCACCGCCACCACTGGGCCACCACCACCACTCACCACCACCACCACCACCACAAACCACCACCACCAAACCACCACCACCACCACCACAACCCACCACCACCACCACCACCACAAACCACTACCACACCACCACCAAACCAGCACCACCACCACCAACCATCACCACAACCACCACCACCGCGACAAACCACCACCACACCACCACCACCACAACCACCACCACCACCACCACAACCACCACCACCGTCCTCGTCGACGCTCCGCGCAGCCGCCGCCCGCCGCCGCAGGCGCCGGCGACGGCCCAGAAAAGGAAATCGTCGTCCCCGCCGCCGCCCCAGCCGCCGCCGACGCAAGCGCCAACCCGAGGAGAGGGGAAGCAGGGGAGGAAGGGAGGGGGGGGGGTTCGAACCCCACCCCTCCATCCAGGGGGGGGTCCGGTTTAACCCCCTCTCCTCCAAGCGACCACAGAACGCGCTGTTTCGTATGTATGTATGTATGTATGTATGTATGTATGTATGTATGTATGTATGTATGTGTGTGTATGTACGTATGTATGTATGTATGTATGTATGTATGTATGTATGTATGTATGTATGTATGTATGTATGTATGTATGTATGTATGTATGTATGTGTGTATGTATATATGTATGTATGTATGTATGTATGCATGTATGTATGTATGTATGTATGCATGCGTGTATACGTATGTCTGCATGCTGGTATGCATGTATGCTTGTATGCATGTATGGATGTATGTATGCTTGTATGCGTGTATGCACGTATGTGTGTCTGTCTGTCTGTCTGTCTGTCTGTCTGTCTGTATGTATGTATGTATGTATGTATGTATGTGTGTATGTATGCATGTCCACATGCATGCATGCATGCACGCATGTACGTATGCATGTACGCATGCATCCATGCATGCATGCATGTATGTATGCATGCATGCATGTATGTATGCATGTATATGTGCATGTATGTATACATGCATGCATATCTGGATGTGTCTGTGTACATGTATGTATGTGTGTAGATAGGTCGGTACGTATGCATGCACGTATGTATGTATACATGTGCATGCGCACACACACACACACATATATATATATATATATATGTGTGCATGGATGTGTGCGGAAAGGTGTAAGTGCGTATATGTATGTGCGTGTGTACGTATGTATGTGTCTGCATGTGGGTATGTATGTTTGTAAGTATGCACACACACGTATATATATATATATATATATATATATATGAATACAAGTGTGCATATACATATGTATATATGTGTATACAAGTATGTGCCTGGGTTTACACCTATACGTATATGTGTGTTGCTGTCTCCCGTTTTCTCTATCTCTCGCTCTCTCTCTCTCTCTCCTCGCCACCTCCTCCTCCTCCTCCTCCTCATACTCCTTGTCCTCCTCCTCCATATGGTGACTTCGTCTTCGTTACTCCGACAGTCTGCCTCGCGGCGCGCCCACGGGCCGCGGGTCCGCGGCCATGCTCACCTGCCGCATCCTCGCGCCGAAGCCGAGGCTCTCCAGGCGGAACCCTTCCTTTCGGGATGGCGAGGGGGCGGAGGAGGAGGAGGAGGGGTGGAGGAGGAGGAGGAGGAGGAGGGAGGAGGAGGAGGAGGAGGAGGAGGAGGAGGAGGAGGAGGAGGAGGGGGGGGAGGAGGAGCACAAGCCTCTCCCTTCCGTTCGTTCCCCGTCGTGCTTCCTTTAATCTCGACGAGCCAAGGGTCGCTGATTCAACACGGACGTCCTCCTCTCGAAGAGGGCCGATGACGGTGCGTGCCCTCCTCCCCCGCCTGCTTCCTGCGGCCGCCCCCTTCCTCCTTCCCTCTCCTGTCCCCGGCTCACTGATGACGTACGCCGCGCGCCCCCGGTTGCTACGGTTAAATCGGGCCTGTCCTCCTACAGGGGGATGTTGGACGAAATAAATGTTTATGTGGCTCTGCTCATTTTTCGCCGCCAGAGATGAACCACATATCCGATGGCACTGAAAGGCCTGCGAGCTGACCAGAAGCATCACACAGATCGGAGGCACCCGAAGACATTTATCAAGATCCCCCCAGCTTTGCTGAGCAGGAGGGTGAAAGGGGTAGGCTTGGGGATAGCCGGAAAAAACTTGAGCCATCGTGTCAATGGACCGATGCTGCAAGGACGGCGGTGCTCCAACACCGCAGACAACATTCCCGAGCAAGCACATACATGTGGCTCTGCTCATTTTTCGCCGCCAGAGATGAACCACATATCCGATAGCACTGAAGGGCCTGCGAGCTGACCAGAGACATCACACAGATCGGAGGCACCCGAAGACATTTATCAGCATCCCCAGTCCCAAATTCTTGGACCTGGCCAACGGCCCACGCAAAGCGCTTAAATAAAAGCTCACAGATACGTTCGACAAACAATTGCGGATATGGCTGGGCAACTAAGGTCTCGAATTTCCCCATAGCATTCTTACCTACAAGTTGATCGTGTTTCTTATTAGTGGCCGAGCACCTGCCCCTACTCATGACACATCTCTTGATAGTTGAGAGCT